GGAGAAGTAATTCTGAAGTGGAACATTGGAAGGGAAAGAAGAGATGATGGATGCATAAAAGACCTTTGTCGGAAGAAATTTATTCCAAGGTGAAGAAGGGAAGGGGAACTCAACTGATAAACGTCGACTAGGAACTGGAAGAGAAAAAATGATGGAATAGTTCTGGAGGGAGACCAGAATCGCGACATTTTTCCGACCCCATTCGCGTGCTCGTGCCCTAATTTATACGTATTTTTTCTCTGAAAATCTGCGAAAAGCTCCCAATTAATGTTCCTTTTATAGGTGAAGAATGTGTCCGATTCGGCGCTAAAGTCTCGAAAAGGCAGCAAGACACATACGTTGGACGAGTACGAAGATTACGAGGTCAGTTCTCAATCTATGCCAATGCTCTACGCTCTAATGTCAGGCCGCGCTTTTAGTTGATGGATCGAGGACGACTTCCAGACGAAGAGGACGCGGATCTGTTCCGAGTGCCGGATACCGCTGGCGGTGCTGGTTTCGTTCCATCGGGTTCCACTGACCGGTGGCTGGATGGCACAAAGGTGTGTTGCGAGATGTTCGTAGCAATTTGAGCATGGTTGCTGTATGGAAATGTTTCAGTACCGTGTTGGGGACTGCTTACCGTACCGCGGCGAGGCATGTCGGCAATTCTTGAGTGGGCGGAGTGTGATGATGACAAGTGAGAGTCGAGAGGATATGTATGATATTGGTGAGTCATTTGGGATGGCTTTTTTGAACACTGGAGCTTTTCTCCTTGAAGGATGACTTCATTCCACGGATGGCAATGGCGGCTGACAATGAGACTCCAAGCTCGAAAATTTCATACCTGTTATTTTCAGATAGGAACCTTCGAGCTGCCATGATGTTCATCAACGGCGCCCCGACGATCTCACAACAATGCCGACAGATCTCGACGAATGTCGCCTGCTTTCACATGTACAAAGTGTGTGACCCAAGGTCATCCGTGGAGAATCGACGGGTGCTGACCGTCTGTAAGAAGGACTGTGACGAGATCCAGGTGAGATCAAACTTCTAACCCTAGGTTTTGGCTGCCTGTTTTGAAGAAACCATCTGGAATTGCCTGATGGAGGGCAGCTTGATGGTTCCTCTTTGCCTATTGAGCAATATAAGCTTTAAAGTGTTAGCAAAATAAATTGGAATGTTCCAAGAATTCTCAGGCTGACAAAGTTTTTTGGGTGGTCTGCATCTGATATTTTTAAAAGGGACCGCTTCTAAAATAAAGCACCCACGTTCCTGAGGTCTAATGATTGCATATCTCTTCGTTATGTTTGGCCTTCTATCTTCTAGACATCTCCTTCATTTCCGTTTTTATGCATTTTCCGGTAAAGAATCTCGAGTGGTACCTAGTTTTTAATATTTCCTCCTTCCTAATCTTTTCATGTATCGCGATTATTGTGAGGATCTCCTGTTGAGGTCTGTCAGTAACCGTCCTTTACAGATGACTTTCTCTCTGTTAAGACGCGTACCGCAGACGTCTTCAGAGTTGCGCCACCCATAATGTTAGCTGGATTGATTTGAACTGAAAGCGGCCATTTTTTCCTCTCTGAACAATTTAACTGATGATGTGCTCGTCTTCAAGTTGACGAAATTGACTTGACATCGGCTAGACGTCGGATTAGTGATAAGAGTTCAGCGTCGATCAATTTCTTTTCTTTTGGAATGGACCGCGCAATCGGCTTCCTTGCAAAATAAGGGGACGCGTGAGGTATTTGGGTGATCATATGATGTATGAAGATGTATATCATAGATGTATGAAGTCAGTCAGTTATCTTATCAGACGGTCCTGGTGCCAATTATCCGACAACAAATGAAGGTTCCTGTGGGGAAGCGACCACCCAGATGAGGTCGTGTCGAAGAATCTGTTCTGTGGGTGGATAGAGTAGCCCACGAGTATCACAGATGTGCCGTTGTCGCGGCTCGAAGGTAGCGGCGCTAGGGCCTTACAAAGTGATCTGATGGCGACTAATGTGAACTTACGGACGAGATACCTCGCGCTCGCCTCACGCAACGTGGATTACGACGTAGCGGATAAGATAGCCGATAGGTAGATAGAATGGTAGCCTCATCGCGTTGTGCGGTTTCGGAAAAACTCGTCTGTATATGTCCTTTCTACGCCATTATTATCAATCGCTGTTACCCCACCATTTGAACTAAGGCTGTTGCTCTACCTTGAACGTGGATCTAGTTTTCCCCGGATGAGGCGTGTTGTATCGGGTTATGTTTTTCCAACTGCACACCCAAGAAGGATAGGAGAATCGTAAGGTTGAGCGGTGTTCATTGACCGAAGCACGATATTCTGCTTATCTTCTCATCTACTGTACACTTTAAAATATGGAACTATTAAACTCTTTGCTGTTTTCTCTGATCTTCATATCGTGGGAGAGGCGTTCGATCTCGATCGTTGATCTAGTGATGTCTGCAGTCAACGGTGGAACGCCACCTCACGTTTAGATAACCTTGGATTTTCCTCGCTTTTTATCTCATTTCCTCTTTTTCTTCATGGTTTATGCAGCAAGTGGAATTTAATTGATCTGGTATAAATTGGGACGGAGTTTTTTTGGGGTGAAATTCTTTAACTGGATTTTGCTAGGTTTTTAGTGCTATACAAGTAGGGTGAGGCACGCCGCATTTTTTGAACAGAAATGTATGTAAGTGGGACTGCTGCCCGCTACTATACTGTCACGAGAATCGGGGAATTCGTGAGCCAGGGGAGTGTAGCCAATCTAGGGGGGGGTGAGGGCAGTCACTTGACATGCGTGAAAAGCTGGACGTGCCCACCCCACTTGTATAGAGCCGCGATTACTTTTTTCTATTGAATGACATCAAAATTGAACGCTAGCCTAATTGAAGAGGCATTTTGTGCAAATAGTTTCGTTTCTGAACCTTAGAGGGTAAATCACGCCATTTATGCAAGCTACGGGGGGGGTTTCATGGGATCTTCGCTTACCTTTACTCTTACTGACGCATATGAATCTCATGGATTGCATTATTCTTATGCGAGAGAAAAGCAATCTAAATAAAATAATTTGGAAAAGAGGAAATGTTGGTAGGCGTCCTTTCTTGTGGCCTTGTGTTGGCCATTTTGCCCTTATTTTTATCGCAAAAAGGAGGCAGTCATAGAGCGCCACGAAAGTAAAGTCTACGAAAAATCAGAGGTATCTGCTCAACCTGTCAGATGAACTAGAGTGAAAGAAGAGCGTACTCCTCGATTTTAACCGTGTATAGGAATTGCTAGTGTTGGTGGTTGGCCAAAATCTACACTTATTCAAGCCTATTAAGTGTTCGTTGCTTCCATCTAAGATACTCATCGTATCATCTGTTAGCCTACTCGCCATCAAATCAATGAAGTGATTTGGCCTCCTTTTCTTTTGTTCCCTCACCCTTTTAACCCCTTCCGGCTCCTGGATAAAGTGTTCAATTTCTTTCGCATCCGTTCCCTTATTTTTCGCTGGTAAACATATGGGTAACAGTGCCATTAATTAACAGTGCCACTAAAGGAATAGCGGTACACATCTTCTATGTGGACGTCTAATGGGTCTCCAAGTTTTCTTTTTTACTCTATTACAAGAACCAATCTCATATGATGGCCTGTCCACCTCTCTCCTTTTTCCCTTGCAAAATGGTAGTAGGTGTGATGAGGAATGTCGTTGGAAAAAACGACCGGTCACAGAGGATTTTGGTCTTGCGCCATCAATCTTACAAGTTCTGTGATTAGAAGACATCTTTTCATATAAGGCACCCAATTACTTACACGCTCGTAATAGCTAGACAAGGTGATACCCAGAGATAATGCTGCCTTATCACAATTTGCTTGATGTTGAGGAAAAGACTGAGTTATTTGGAAATGAAAAAGGATTGGGGCGAGCATGGGAACGTTAGTATTTCAAATAAATAATGATTCTGAATTATGCAAAATTCAGAGCACATAGTTGTTGATTCAAGTGCGTCAAAACCTGTTGCCAAAGTGCGAATATTGCTAGCGTTCTTCCTCGTTATGAGAGCTAATTGAAGTTCTTCAGTATCAATAATTCCACCAGGCTTGCGCTTCTGCTCCTATCAAACACCACTTATCTACACTTCAACAAATAATACACGTGTTTTGAATTTTCAAAATTTTCGGAATCTATCAAGGGCGGAAGTGGTGTAGTGGCAAGTGGCACGCTTACCACGCGAGCGGTCCGGGGATCAAATCCTGGGTCGTGAGTCGCCCGGGCCAACCAAGCCTTCCATCCCTCCGGGGTCGGTTAATTGGTACCAGACTTGTCTGGGAGGATAAAAACACTGACTTGTACATCGGCTGGCCCCCGCAAGTCATTGTATAGGCCACATCGCATTCAAACGCCACTACGAATGTACAAATGGAAGTAGAATGCGTGCCGCATCCCAAAAAGGGATTGATCAACGGCAAATGCTTTATCCTTTATCCTTTATGGCATATTTTAAGAGTCGCCTGTGCCCGTCAGAATTGGCCTTGGCTGCCCAACACGAACTCGTTGGTGACGGACCAAAAGCGCTCTTTCCTCACTGTTCGGCTCTTTCACCGTCTTCAAATAACTGCATTGGTGTCCTCGATTCGCCGAACCCAGTGGTAAGTTCTCGTTTATGACTCGACTCTTAGTCATCATGAGAGCTAAATCGCCGTGAATTTTGCAGATGCCTATCGAGTCAGAGATTCCACGCGGTCATCTGACGCATTTCTGTTATGTGGACAGTGGGAAACACTACGAGGGCTCCGCATCGACAACAATAACAGGGAAGACGTGCATGAACTGGAATGACGCCCCTTCAAGGTACTTCGTACATATTTTTTAACGCTGGTTCCCTTCCGTAGAGTAGGTTGAAGGGGCTTGTCGAGGAACCTAGATAGTGGAGAAATGTTGCCCGATTCAA